TTCTAAAGAGAGTGATTTTATTTATTTTTAGAGAATCATTATACACAAGCATGCATTTGAAATGTATATAATTAAAAGCAACTGCTTAGCAATGAACTGTTGTGGAACATCTCCAAAGCAGACAGTGTAAATGTGCACTTAGCAGTCTTTCCCAGTTATGAGACACTTCAATATTTTAATCTGAAGTAGAATGTACTTTGTATCATAATCTAGGCAGTAGGAAAGGTTAAACATTGCCAAAAATTTATTATTTTTGCTACTTGATTTTAAGAACGAAAGATGCTCCCAGGTAGGAAAATTTTCCTCCATCTCTTCTATAGGAGACACCTAAAAATAAAAATAATAATCAATTACATATTGATTACATTGTTAGTGTTCCTTTGTCCTTATTTCTTCTGTGTCCAATCAGAGAAATGCATTCAGAAATGTGCTGCTTCCATCAATGTTATGAGTTTTCATTTATCTAAGCCAAGAGAATCTCAAGCAGTTAGACATTTAGAATCTGTGGAGAAGAGTCATGTGCATTTCTTGTATCATGTAATTAATTGCAAAGGATGTGTTCAATTTCAAAGCAGAGGAAATGTAGAAAATTTCTGTTTGATTCTGGGCCAATAGAAGAGCTCATCTCAGTTGCTCATTCAGGAAATTATTACATGTCCTTTCATATGTATTTCATGAAAGATGATATGCACCGCTATTCTACTAAGTCTAACTTCCATGAGGTCTATGTATAAAAATCTCACAATTGATTTGGATCAAATGGTGATTAATATGTAGACCCATGGCATTACAGTGATTGAAGGACCAGAGTCCCTGTGAAAGAATCACTTGAACCCCAAAGGAGTCGTGAACCACAGGTAGAGAAACACTGCATCATGAAAAGATTGTGAACAATATCAGATATCTGTTTCACTCTGGAAAGATGAGGTGTTTTAAAAGTGTTTTTGTTGTTGTTATTGCTGTTAATTTTCACAACCAACCTATTTTATGAGTGAAAATAACTAATGGGAAGTGCTCACCTTGGTGAGAATCCACCTAAGGTCATCCAGGATTTGTCTGTTGTTCTCTTCAATCTCCTTGACTTTTGAGAGTATAGTTTCAGGGACATCTTGCATGGCACTCAGTTCAAGCACTAGATGGTAGAGAGGGCTGATCCAGGAACCCACAAATTTGATCAAAGTTTTTAAATATGGTGCTATCTGTGAGACACAATTGAACAATTGCATTAAATAGTTTCAGTGTAGAAGGTTTGATACCTGTAATGGTCATGTCATGTAGCTGAACTGAAACATGTATTTTCTATGTGTATATGACACATATATAGATGCCACATAGTTTGGAATTATTATATTTAAACAACTGGTGTATTTTCTAAAATTAAAACAAATTATGGGTCTTGTCAATTAATATTTTTCTGAGGTTAAGGCATCATACTTTGTTCTCCCTATGCAATTCTAACAGCTTCCCTTCCAGTGAGATCTTTATTATTTGGTTATTTGTTCAAGTTGTAAAATGATTTTTGCCAGTATTCAAAAAGGACCACTAAGGTTTGACTCATGATAGATATAGGCAGGAGTATTTCAATAAGGGCTTCATGTACACCATGTATAGGGGAAGAAGTATATCATATCATATAATAGAACTAATATGATATGTAGACATTCTCATCACGAATTTGGGCATTGCTGTATCCTAAGGAACATAATCTATCATTTCATAGAACAACTCTGTTCATCTGGTTTTCAGTTAAGTCATAGAGAATAATAGAGTAATGAAGAGTTAGGTAACAATTAAATAGAATCAGAAAAGATTTGAAAATCAAGAAGGGGATAGTCTTCAGTCACATAGATTGCTATCATGCAGAACCCATAGCAACAAATAATAAATACAGCCACATTGTTATCACTGATTGAGAAGTGAGTAAATATCCATGGATAGTCAATTTAGCTCAAAGAACCTAAAAAAATAGTAAGTAATATTTTAGTGGTTGTTTATTCCTAAATTACCATTCTCTAAATGATGTGCTTAACCATTTGCTACACTTTTTGGGTATTTGATTTTATTTACAACTTATCAAGACTATAATATGATTAGTTTCTATACTTTATCTTCTTTTTTTCTGCATGCATGATTACTGTATCTCTCAAAATGCTTGTAATAACAGTCAGTACCACAAAATCAATGTATTGCTTCTGGAGTTCTGTGGAAAACCCAAGAAGGAAACTCACTTCAATAGTTATGTGTTCAGTTCCCCTATTTGGGGTTTTTGTGACACTTGAATGGCAGTAAGTTCCAGCTCTCACGACAGTCTCGTCCTGCCTAATCAGTTGTGAACTCTGCAAATAAAACATAAAACTAAATTCAGAAATCATAAATAACTTCATGACCAGAATATTAATGCATTTCAGTGGCTTTGTAAATTTTAACATAAGTAATTCATAAAATACACATATTAATGAATTAAGAAACACTTCATCATGCAGTTTTGTGTTTATACATTGTACCTGCAATATAATTTGTTTTTTTCCATTATCTTTTGAATATTTAACTCCTTCCTCCCTTACTCAGTTTTCTTTGCTTTCAAAAGTTAAGCTAAGGATGGCAGAAACTGAAAGAATTAAATCTATGAATAATTAAGTTATTTAGTTATCAACATTGTATAGGATTTCATCATAAAGCCATAGCAATTTATTAATCTTGCTATTTTTTGCAGTAAGAACTGACACTTCCTTACCCAGACAATAGAATTATAAATTTCTTTATTTAACATGTAAGAATATAGCTGGGCATATTTGTAATTGTTTTAGAATCAAACTCTCTCACAAAAATAAAATATTTTATAATAAATTCTATATAGACTCAAAGTGCACAAATTATAAAAATTATAAATTAATATCATTTATTGAATTAGACATTGTGTGATTAATAAATTATTTAACTTAATTATATACTTTATAGTATATTTTATTTCAAATAATCAACTAATTCATGAAAGGTTAATGAATAATTATGAAGGTTAAGGAGTTGATACATTATCAATTAAAAACAGGAAATACAAATATTGTATAACACTTTCTCTTCTAAAGTGCAATCATTGACATGAGGCCCTTATCGGGAAGCAGTTGGAAAAATGAAAGGTACTTACAAAAGATGCAAATTGTCCAGATGAGAATTTGTTGTAGTGCTGAGTCACGTTTAGGAGAGAAAAATAACATCTAGTTAATAAAACCTATGATGAAAGCTTTATTTCAAACAGAGACACATTCTTTTGATGCACATCATATTGAAGGTTAGCCTGTTTCAATAGTTTCATTTTTTCTATCATTGAGATATGACAGTCACCAAAGGGGGAATGGATCTACTTTATACTTTTATTACTGCCCTGATATTGGACGAATTGTTATCACTGAAAATCTTTAAACCCCTATTCCTTGTATTTATGGGCTTCTTGAAAGGATAGATTCTCTCCTTCTCTCTCTCTGTCTCTCTGTCTCTCTGTCTCTCTCTCTCTCTCTCTCTCTGAATTTCTCTCTCTTTCTCTCTCGCTTCATTCCTTTCTTCTGTTCCTTCTTTCTTGCATCTTCACATGTTTTACTTTAACTCTGTTACAAATATATAGTTCACTGTAATGTACATATTTTACTATGTGTACAGAAGTGTGCTAAATGAACATGGCCAATAGAATTTCATGATCCTGGAAGCAAATCCAGGAATTAGAGTTTGTATCCAAGCACATTTTAAAAGTGTCTACCATAGTTAATTTTTATTTTTAATAATGTAGTGAAAATATATTAATATCATTAGACTCTATAAAATTTCATGACACTGTCCAATTGGCCTTGCCATTGTTTCAGAAGTTGGGGCATCTTTTATCCATAAAGGTGAATTTTCTGATATTTGAATCATGATATTTAGTGTCTCAGCTACTAGTGCAGTTCAAGTATTAGTACAGAGGTTGAAGTACTTACAAGTTCTACGTATAATTGGTCAGCAAGATTGTGGAGAGTTTCAGCTCTCTGGACGGCACTGTTAAATGTTTCCACAAGAGGGTTCCAGCAACCACCCTCTTCTGCCATACATGCAGGAATTGATGCAACTTTTTCCCAAAGCAACAAGTTTGAGACCACCAGTACCAGTAGTGCCCCAGCTACATAGAAAAAAATCACAATTAGAGATGGTATATTAACCTGGGTTTTCCTAGGCCCAAGAATGTTGTATCTGGACAAAAGTTTTTTTAGATTTTGGGGGGTTTTGTTTTTTGTTTGTTTGTTTGTCTTTTAATGTTTTACTGAATGACTTTATATTGGATATATGAAATGACATATAAAGTGACTCTAAGCTCTTAGGCAATTAATTGAATTTTTCTGAATATTAATTTGAGGAGCAGGTGATTTCACATTTATTTTGTATTGTTTAAGAAGTGCTTCTGAACTTCACAAATACTGGAAATTAAAATTAGTTGTGTACTTTTATTTTAAGGCATTTTTCGATGGCTTATTATCTTTGGAATTTAAGCTCATTTTCAGTTATCAAACTCTTGAAGAATATGCAATTTTCAATCATCATGTCTGATGTTAATGTTTTGGACACTTATGGCACAAGGATAGCACAGTTTACATAATTGCCTCTTGTATAATTGGACAATAAATACCACAATGATGATTACTAACCAGAAGATGAAGAGATATTGTCCAATATACGATATCAAGTTAGAACTGCTAAGATGATAAAACTCCATCAGACATTTTTTCATCAAAAACTTCAGATCATTCTTTTAAAGTTGACCTACCCAATAATTTTGTCTACAGATTAAACTCTCTTAAGATAATCTGAACATATTAAGGATAGAGAAGGATTAAATGTTCAAACTGTTTTTCTAATGGTTTATTATTGGTTAAGGTAGAAATCAGAACACCAACTATCAGTACTTTGTACTCACAATTCTGTTTCTTCTACCCTGAGATAAGATTAAATTTATCCACTGAATTTACACTTTTAATGTTTTCCAATTTCTAAAACTCTAAAACATTGCCCATTTGAGATATATTATTCTTTGTTCTGGAAGATATATATGCATTGGAAGCTGCTTAATTATTCCCATTGGTTCTACCCATTGTATACAAGAAATACTTTCCTCCTTCTCTCACCTCAAGAGAGAAGACAGGATAACACAGACTCTCTTTGAGCATTGCATAATGTCTCAAGTTAAAGGATGATGAAAACTACAAATCCAATTGTCTCCTGTACCCTTCTACAGCTTCTTTTAAGAAAAATAATTTTAAAAGTTAATATAAAGTCTCTGTAGAATTCTACTCTTGGTAATCTATGAACAAATATCTCTTCACGCCAGATAGAACATGAAAGATTCCAAAGAAAGTATTCCATTAAAATAAACTCATAGAACCACTGAACTGAATGCTTTTACTAAGAGAGGCATTGGGGTGCGGTGGGGGGTTCCTTACAGAAGTGAGGTTGACTCAATGGCATCTCCATCGCTGAGGAGTTCCTAAGCAGAACGAGTTCTGTGTCTGAAGATCTGCTTCACTGGAGTTGTATATTCAGTTAGTTTCCTGGTCCTATATATCTTAGCAGATCACCCCAAGGGCATGTACAGCTATGTGACAGCATAAGGTCACGTACAGAAACACTTATTCATGAATCATGTCTTTCTATCTTCAGGGAATATCAACAGTTTTATTGCAACATACTTATAAGTGTCTGGATGGTTTCTTTTTACGTGTTCCTATATGTTGATTCTTGTGCAAATATTTTTGAAATCTCTGATGTCTTTCTCAGCTGCCGGGTTAAAGATGATTATGTCAGATCATGAAAAAATCATTGTTCATGATTACTTCTCCTTCCTTAGAATCTTACATTCTTTGTTTCATTTTTTTCTAATCTTTATGGACAGAGAGCAGTTCTTCACTGAATATTTGTCTACCATACCACAGAATTAGTAAATTATCTGTAGTGTTATAAATCTGGCTACTCAGAAGAGTGTTTCTCTGTGAACTAAACTGACAATTATAATAATCTTCATGCTTAAATTAGACATTTAGAAGTCAGGCTAAAATAAATGAGATATATTTAACACAAAAACCCCATTGACTTCTCTCTAGGGTATATAACTTCTTAAAAAATTACTGGACATTCTTTTAAATTAACAAATATATAGTGTTTTCTTGCAATTGCTGTTACTCATGTCAGAAGTTTGTTAACTGCACTAGTAACAATTGCACCATGATTGTCCTAATGAGTATATTTTCATACACTTACTGTTAGTATTACCTGTTGTACCACCGGTGAAAGTTCTTCAAAAGCCAATGCCATAGTTGCTTCAAGACTCTGGCATTTAGTCAGCATTGAGAGGTCTTCTAACTCAATGACAACAAAATATTCTTAAATTGTTGAAAGAGTGTACTTGCTGCTTAAAAAATGTAGGTAAATCAGTTAGGTCTAATATTCATACAAAAGAAAACATAGCTACAAGAATGTCATGAGATATTTTAATAGCCTATGCCTATCTCTTGGGAAAGTACCTCTGACCTTTAGGTCACCCATATCTCAGAGATTTAATTCAATAAACATACTTTTCTCAGGAATCCCGTTTCCTATATATATACTCTAACAGATTCTTTTTCCTTTCCTTTTTTTAAAAAATTATATTTATTTATTTATTTATTTATTTACATTCCAAAGGTTAATCCCATTCCCATTCACCCATCCAGAATTCATCATTCCATCCCTCTTCACTTTTGCTCCTGAGAGGGAGTTTCCCCATATAACCTCCCCACCTACTTCATCCCAGCCATAATCACACTACTCTGGAGCATCAAGTTTCTATAGGTTTAGGCACATCTTCTCCCACTCAGTCGAAACAAGGCCTTTCTCTCATACATATGTGCCAGGGACCATGGTCTACTCCATGTATGCTCTTTGGTTGTTGGCTCAGACTCTGGAAGGTCATAGGGGTCCAGGTTTGTTGATAGTATTTTTCTTCCTTTTGGGTTGCCATTGACTTTAGCTCCAGGGGTTCTTGACCTCACTCCAATAGTTGGCTGTACATATCTGCATCTGTCTCAGTCAGATGCTGGTAGAGCCTTTCAGAGGAGAGTAATGTGCTCCTTTCTGCAAGCACAACATGGCATCAGTAATACTGTAATGATTTGGTGCCTGTGCATGAGATTGATCCCAAGTTGGATTAGTCATAGGATGGCCTTTCCTTTAGTCTCTGGACCACTTTTGTACCTGCATTTCCTTCAAACTGAAAGGATTTTGTATCAAATATTTTGAAGATGAGTGGGTTGTTCCATGTGTCAACTGGGTTCCATGGAGGTTGTCTATCTACTGGAAGTTGTCTCTGGGTTCCTTCTATCCACCAATGAGCTTTTCAACTAAGGCCACTCCCATTGAGTCCTGGGATTCTCTCACATCCAAGGTTTCTGGGATTCTCTAGAGTGACCCCTGACCCTCACTCTCTAGTGCTGCATATTTCCATTCATTTTCCTAGCACTCTGGGCTTCTTTCTTCTCTCCCCATATTTGATCCTGCCTTCTTTTCCCCTTGCTATTTCCTCTTCTACCCAGTTTCTTCCCTCCCTCTGCCTTCTGGGATTATTTTGATCCTCTTTCTAAGTGGGATTGAAGTATTCACACTTAGGCCTTCCTTCTTTGAAGCTTCATGTGGTCTATGAATTGGATCATGGACATTCTGTTCTTTTGGCTAATATGTACTTATCAGTTCGTATCTACCTTGTTTGCCTTTTTGTTTCTGGGTTACTTCTCAGTGGTTAATAATACAGGCTGCGATTCCAGAAGTTCTGAGTTCAACTCCTAGCAAGCACATGGTCACTTAGAAGCATCTGTAATGGAAGCTTATCCCCTTTTCTGGTGCATCTGAAGTCCTAGAAAATATAATTTCATATATAGTGTAGACTCTCATAGATTTTTTAATAGCTGAATTTAGTATCCTCTTAGTTTCTTTGCCAAATGAGTAAATGTATAAAGGTTGGATTTATGAAATGGAAGCTTAACAGAAATTCAGCACTTTTGTAGACCTATTGTTACCTGCTTCAAGACATCATAAACTGATTTGATGTTTCTGCATTCTCATGGACATTAGTCAAAGATTAGCAAAGGTGTTAGACATCATGAACAAGTGTCAAGGTCATATGAGTTGTTTCCCCAAAGCATAAGACTGTGTAGAGTAGCACGGATGGGATCATTACTCCTTTTGAAAGTTAATAATCTACAGACAACCGTCTGTACTGTTTAGATTGCTTCACTTTAGACTGACATATGATCAGTAAGAGATAGCATCTTGCTAAGGGCCAAGAAGTACTGGGATCCATTCAGATCTGCCAAATCTCTAGTCCCTCCAGAAGTCTTCGAACTTTCAACAGTCTCTTGGATGGTATTATGCTCTCAAGTTCTTTATCTTTCAACAGTGTTTTAGGAAAGGACTCCTGCCTGGGTTAGTAATCTTCCCACAGACTCCTCAATCTTAAACAATACATGTTTAACATAATTTTCATAACCTGGTACAAAACACTATAACCCTTATTTACAGCCTAAGTCTCTTCTATTCATCCACCCCAAGATTCCTATCTATATTAGAGAATTGTAAACCAAGTACTCTATGAGGAAGAGTTAAGTACCTACTCCTAGGACAAGCTGTATCATTTTTATATTCCTTGATATATCTCATTATTGCACTGTTGGTTTTTGCACTAGTGACGTTGAATAGCTGTGAATTCATATATATTTGTCTAAAAGATAAAGACAGTTCCTTAAAGAGTCCTTTATGATGTCCTCTGGTCCTCTAATGTCCAGGCAGAAAGACAATGTTTGTTAATCTGTTAATTTTAAAAGATATACTGTCCATTTAAGACATCACTTTCCAGCATCATGGAAACCCAGTGTCATCTTCTACCCCATTAAGAACTTTTATTCGGTTTACAGCCTATCTACTGCTCCTAACTACCACACCTTTGATCTGGTCAATATTTTTGTTGGAGATCCTAGATTGGTCACAGTTCAAATATTGTTACATTTGTCTTTCCTTGAGTCCAGTTCTCATATATTTTTGTGTGTAGTTTTTTTTTATTATATTAGCACTTTACAAATGATATTTAAGTCATGTTCCAGACATTTCTTTTCTATATAGTCTCTTCTACTTCAAGTATAATTTTTTATTGAATATTTACTTTATTTACATTTCAAATGTTATCTCCTTTCCAGGTGTTCCTCTGGAAACACCATGTCTCCTCCCCCTCTCCCCTCCCCCCTTCCCCCTCCCCTACTTCTATGAGGGTGTTCCTGCATACACACGCCCACTTCTGTCTCCCACCCTCACATTCCCCTATACTGGGGCATCTAGCTTTCACAGGACCAAGGGCCTCTTCTCCCATTGATGCCTGACGTGGCCAATCTCTGCTACATATGCAGCTGGAGCCATGGGTCCATCAATATGGTTAGTGGTTTAGTCCCTGGGAGCTCTGCTGACTGATGACTTGTTAGAAGATAATATACAAACAATATAGTCATTTTAAAAAATGAGAAACTCTAGAAATGGCTGAATGAGTACAGAGACTAGCTGGTCCCTATACCTATGGGTCCCTGTAGGCTCATGATAGAGGATACTATTTTTTAATTTCAGTTACAAGATATCCAATGTCTTCTTCTGGTGTCTAACAATATTTTATAGACATAGTATACTTATGTACATGTAGAGAAAATATAAACTTAAAAAATGTTTTTTAAGCTTGTGTGTTTTTGTAAAAGTATGAATGTTGTTAAAATGGAAGTACAATATGATATGAATATAACAGCAATAAAAAGCACCATAGATTGACAAACAAAAATCCAATACTGTGGGCGTTACCATTTTTGGAGTTTTTTGCAAGTAAATTACCAGAGAGACAAAAACATTACAGGCTATTGATAATGATATTGTTACTCTCTAGAACTTGATTTTAAGATCTCATTATGGAAGAAATCATGTAACATAGTATGAAAATATTAACTGACTTATTCACTTAACTGACTCATTTTTGTAGTTCTGTAAGGTGCTGTGTATTCTACCAGAGTACAAAAGGAATGATCAGTCTTGTCCAGCTGTGAACATTGCAAACTACAATAATGTATGGCCTAGTCAGATGTGCCCACTGATGCAATAGTGACACAAACATCATGTTGCTCACCAACCACTATTTGATTAGATTCAAGTATAATTCCATATAATGAAACCCATATCTTGTACAATTTCAGAGTCAAAATCTAGTCGCTAGATAGGTTATAGACCCAAAGAGAGAACCTACTAGAATTATTCTATTAATTGGCCATAATTTATAACCAAATCCTACTGACTTATATTTCTTCCCATTAATAATGGCATCTCTGAACTACCATCAAGAATACTTCTATTTGCAAAATGTGATAATTAACATAGAAACAGACATCTGACCAACATAAAAAGAATAAGAAATTGCAGAAATATCAGGACTAAAAAATGTCATCTAAATTACATTCCTTCTACTCACACACTGAAGATCATTGGGGGCCAAATGACTATGAAAGCCAGAGTTCATGAATGA